TAGGGGAAGTTGCCAAAATTGTGGGCCTTTTTGGCTCCTAAAAAAGTGAAAAAAATATCTCGTTCTAAATTTTTTTTAGTATTTTTCCTGTATTCTAGGGGTCATTCTAAACGCTTTTCCGAAGGAGGCCAGTATTTTCTCGCACTTTGATTTTTTCCTATACTTTAACATGGGGAGATGGCACGGAAGTTACCATGGCACGGAAGTTACATCATAAACAAAGGCGAAAACGGACCAACCCGTTCACCAAATCGAACAGGTGTCTCGCCTAAATTTTAAAGAGACGTGAAAGCGCAAAATGGCCAGGTGGACCGAAATCGATAGGCCAAGTAACACGCTTGCTATTGATGACACGGAATGTTACACAAAAACCTGACACATGCCGGTTTTTTACCTTTGACGGTCCAGCCAGCCGGAATGGGCCCTCCAGCGAAAATCCGCCTACCGCGCCGGAAAGAGGAAACCGCGCTGCTCTTTCTGGTCGCTGAGCCGAATTTTTCTCGCTACAGGTTCGGCGCTGAGGCGCGAAACTAAAGCTGACGATGTTTGAAAACCAGTACACGGTGGACATTTTTCATCCAATAAAGCAGGGGGTGGATCACTCGAATAAATTGCTACCCAAGGGTGTCAAAAAGGTTTGCCAACGGAAAAAAAGGCTGTTCGCGGATTTGCTCTCCGACAAATATTTCAGGAGATTTTCGCCTTGAAACACGGACTTTTTGGACAATGGACAGCACGGAAGTTACATTTTGCCCAGTTTTAGCCTGTTTTGACAGGGAATGTTTGAACTGCATGCTCGGTTAGTTGTGGGATAGTGGGGGAGATGAAGTCGAGTCATAGGAATCAAACCGCAGGTCGATACGTCGAAAAATAAGGAAAATGTGGCCCAAAGACACAAAAGGACCCACAATTTTGGCAACCTCCCCTAGATCGAGACATTTTCAGAGTTTAGAGGCGTGTCAACATATGTGACGCACTGTCGCATCCCCTTTTGTTCGATTCGATTTATGATGTAACTGCCACGAAGCACTCAAATTCGTGTGCAACAGTCTAAAAACGGAATAAACCGAGCAAAGAAGCACACACGAACTTGCACGTTAACATTTGCGACGCAACAAAAATGCTGCCAACCGATGAAATGAAAAGACAACAACGAAAAGAAAAGATACGGTAGTCGTTCTTTTCACTTCATAGGTTGGCATTTGATTTTCAGTGGCAGGACTTATATCCGTTCCAAAAGTGGTGCACAACGACACGGGAGTCTTCAGAAACAAGTCAGGGTTGGTTACAGATTCGAGATGAAGAGGATTTCCAGAATTTACCAATTTAAAAGGCATAGGAGTTATTAGACAAGTCTTGGGTCTAGGACAGCCGACCACACTCTCACTGACCACGTCCCCCACTCACCACTGACAAGTGACCACTTGGTACTCTGACCCCGCATACAAACTGGTCACACTCTGACCCCTAAATGCTGACCACAATAAAAAGCCCAAAAATCCAATATTTATTTAAGTTAAATGAGAAAATGGCCCTCATTTCCATGTCCAAACGTCGATGGAAATGACGACGAAATCTGAGGCAAAACGTTGTGCTTCGACACAAATAGTAAGTATAAAAAGAAAATTATTTTCAAAATCGAGGAGTTTGATTACGATTTTATCACACCATCCGAACTACATCTTAGCCAAACCTGTTTCTTAAAACAATTTTCAACAGGCATATATATAAAGTTTTCGATTATAGAACAGACAGCAACTGGTACAAACAAAATTGAAGAGGCTGTCTAAATAAACAGTAACGCCAGTTACTTCAAATCAAAATTAGAGAACATTTGTTCGGTATGCCAGCAGACGGTCAATCGTGGGGCTACAAAGCATGATTTGTGCGTGCATGGCTACCTGGAGCACTCTCTCGGGTACAGGCAGTAGGCCCCCTAGAGTGCGCCGCGAGCGCGACCCAGCCCGTGGATGCCCAACATATGTCATAGAGGCACATTGTTAAGTCACAGGCGCGCGAGCAATCTTCAGGATTCCAAGGCAAGTTCCTCAGGTGGAGATGGAGACGAGGATTCCTCTTCAGAAGTTCTTCAACGGCGGGGTCGCACAGCCAGAAGTGGACGCACCGGATATTTGAGGGTACGGGTGAGCCGAGCATCTCCAGCGTGGTGAGGCTAGGGGCAGTTGTTGGGTTCAGCGCCCGCATCAAATCGTAGCAGGGTTCCAGGTGCGACAAATCGATTGGATCGAACTTCAGGGAGAGAGTCCGTAGAGCTGTGAACTGAGGTACTGCGGCAGCTACCTGACGCCAGAAGTCTCTTCTTTCGTATGAGACAACCAGTTTAAGGGTTTCTAAGACACGGGCAGAGGGTGATGCAGCCAGAGCAGGTATGGCATCAGCATCTATGCTGTAGGGACATGGGGCAAGGGACACAAAGCGGAGCTGCGACGCCGCACGTAGAAATTCCGGGAGCCCTGAGACCGCAAAACTGCACAACCCACATTCGAAGGAACGTAGCCTGGGCAGCATTAATAAAGCAGACACGGGAAGCACGGTCATCCGGGAAAGCACACGTTCGAGGGTGGCGGCGTGTGCCTCCAGTAGATGTTCTACTAAAGCATCATGAGGTGGACGGCGCAGACAGTTGAGCTCGGTCAGGGACGGGCTCATCTCCAGGCCACTTATTGAAGCCACCTCGCCACAACCATCGATTGTCAATTTACGGAGACGGTCTGCCTTGTACACTGCCCCCCAGGAGCCCATTCACATCCACGGCGCCTTCTCTTCTCACAATATCCAGGACCAGTTGTTCAAGGCCACCGAGAGCAGATACCTTTTCTACTATAGCCGTGGCAAAGGTCACTTCGTGTGTGGTGGCGACAGACAGCGTAAGTTTAGCGACGACACACGAGGTGCGGGACACTTCGCTGGCAGCACCCCTAAGGTGATTCCCACTGATATCCAGTTCGCGGAGGCAGGGTGCGAGCCGGAAGGCACTGCGCCACAGATCATGGTCCTTCCATCTCAGCACTCGGACGCGGCGCCACAGGTCGGGGTGGAGACACAGATCACGGAGGCGGCGGCACAGCACGCGGCAGCTCAAGAGCTGTCTCGGCGGCAGGAACGCCAGCACGGCCAGCAGCGCGTCGTCCGGCAGGGCCAGCAGCAGCTGCGGCAAAAGAGCGCAAATTTAAGCATCGCAGATCAACGGGATCACCGGCCGCGACTGGACCGTTAAATCGAAGGCACAAAATTCACGCCCTTCAGGGCATTAACAGTCCATCACGCCCTATAAAAGCGTAACACGCGCAGTACAAACGGTTATGCCTTTGGAAGGGCATTAATTTTGCTAACACGTCCTATGCCAATTCACGCCTCCCCCCACTGTGGAAAAAATAATAGTAGCCTAAATCCTGTAGTGCTCTGCAAACTGAAATGTGTGCATGGCACGCTCTATTTGGAGCATGCCAAGAAGCACGCTTTAAATTGGAGCGTGCTTACTAGGCACGCTCTATATTAAAGCGTGCCTCCCAGGCACGCTCTATTTTTAAGCGTGCTTAGCAAGCTCACCAGCACAACGAAAATAAACTTCACATTTCAGGCGTCATAGGCGTCACAGCGCTAACAAGACTTGAAATGTTGCTTCTTTAGAGTATAAAATGGAAACCCTGTATTAGTACGTATTTATTAATTAATTAATTAAAAAATAAAAGCCATTACGAGCATTCAGGAGTGTGGTTGCCGTCCGTGCTGCAGTTTAGAGTGAGCTTGCTAAGCACGCTTCAAAATAGAGCGTGCCTGGCAGGCACGCTTTAATTTAGAGCGTGCCTGGTAAGCACACTCCAATTTAAAGCGTGCCTGCCAAGCACGCTCCAATTTAAAGCGTGCTTCTTGGCATGCTCCAAATAGAGCGTGCCATGCACACATTTCAGTTTTCAGAGTGATTAGCACAACTGTCACTGTAGTTCCGAGTACAGGATTTACTGTACTTTTTACAGGATCTACTGTTCTTTGAAAGGGAATTACTGTACCTCAGGGATGGAGTACGGAATATCCTCTACCAGGTACAGTAAATACTGTAGGCAGGCACAGTAAATACTGTGTTCTGAACTACAGTAATTCCGGGCAAAAAAAAACGGGATTCACAGTGGTTTTTTCGCACAGTGCCAAGGGCATAAAATGATTCACGCCGTTGGGGGCGTGAATCGTTTACGCCCAAGAAGGGCTTCTTTTTATGCCTTTGTTTCACCAGTGTTCCGTCGTGCAGTATCTCACTTCAACAAGAAACGTCAAGCAGCAGTCAGGGTTCAAGCTCGACGTCAGAATAGGTCAGATGAATAGGAATTCTGCAAGGGTTGCTGACGAATATCATGGTTTTCTCTAGTGTGACATTGTATGATGATAAAAAAAATTCCAGTCACAACCAGGAATTTTGACTTAAAGGCATTAAAAATCGCAGAGTACATGCCTTGCAATCTTGATTTGAATGGAATAAAACATGGGACAGAGTTGGGAGCCCAATAGAAATTGTTCAACCACGAACGACACACTTAATTCCATTGTAGAATTTTAGTGCGTGGTCTCCTACGATTTTGCGCTTACGTGCCTTTCGTACAAAATTGTACGCAAGTTCGCACAATCTGCGCGATTCTGCTTACAATTTCGTCGGAAAACGCTCCCTTGTTTCACATACAAAATTGTGCGAATTCATTCAGTAGTCTCATGATTTCGCAAGTTAAGAGAAAACCACTCACCGATTGTTCCATTGTTGAGGCACTGAGGAGGTATGCAGTGAGTGTTGAGCAGACAGAGCCCCGGCAGTGTTGACAATGTGGACGAACGTGATCTGAATGGAAACCAAAAGTCACTTCGGTTACGTTGGCCTAAGACCGGAATGGGAATTATACAATGAGTGACGAAGCAGGTACAACGGAGTTGTCCTTGTAGTGATTGTTCTTTTCATGACATACTTGATCAAGGCATCAAGCAGTGTAACAATCTCAATCTCAAACACACTTCACTTTGTGAACTGTTCATCTTTGTTTAACAAGACATAAAATAATTTTCTATATTGACAGCTCTTGTGGGGTTTTCATTCTTATTGTGAAGCAAAATCCTCCATAATAAGAAGCCTTCCTAGAAAGTACAAAGAAAATTCTTTGATGCCTCATTTTGTTCGCAGTTACGAAGCAAAGGCACTGGTGAAACTAAAACGTGGCTCTTGACTTTTTGCTAGAGTCAAGCATAAAGTTACGCTTGGGATGAAGCAGAAATTAGAAATTCCCCAATGCATTCAAGAAGTGGGAATCTCGACAGACTGACGCATAATTTCAACAAGTTCACGCATTTTCCAACAAGCTAACGTTTTCGAAAAAAAAAAATTGTACGCAGGATCACATAAATTTGTAAAAAATAACGTATGAATAATTAGTAATAAAAAGCACTTGCGCACTGTGGGAAAAAAATCACAGTAAATCCTGTGGTGATTAGTACAGCTGTCACTGTAGTTCAGAGTACAGGATTAACTGCACTTTTTTACAGGATTAACTGCACTTTTTTACAGGATCTGCTGTACTTTACACGGGATTTACTGTACCACAGGGGTGGAATACGGAATATCCTGTACCGGGTACAATAAATACTGTAGCCAGGCAAAAGTAAATTCTTTGTTCTGAACTACAGTATATCCCGGCAAAAAAATTTGACGGGATTCACTGTGGTTTTATAGCACAGTGTGCGAAATTACTGAGATCACGGACTAAAACAGTACCCAGGAATTAAGGCCGTGAAAAGGCTTTCTCTTTAAATCACTAAAAACCAGTCTACATAACCGGGTGGTGCGAATGAGACCACATAAGAACAATTGACCAAATGGAATTTTAGTGCTGAGTGCCAAATAGCAACCTAGGTTACCTTTGAGTGAAGTGGCTACTGCAGACGCACCGAACTTGATCACGAAACTCTGCACAGGCCGAGTGGAAGGAATGGTGTGCCGGTGTTGTTCAGCGGTTCAAAGCAGCTACTTCTGGAATGAGGACAGAAACGAATTAGCTTAACTTTATTCATAACCAGCCGGGCTGCTGGCAGGAGAATATTAACCCCGCAGATCACGGCGCACACTGAATGTTAATTTCTTACGAGACATCACAGTTTTTTGAACAGATGAATTTTTGGTGCAAGTTTCGTACGAAAGACTGCACATGTTTCCGCATTTATTAAAATAATAGCGTACACTCCCAATTTCCTACTCAGAAATGCCGGGCAGTCATAAAACTAAGCTCATACGCAGTACTTTAAGATACAAATCAGTCACAGTCCAGAGAAATTTGTTCATATTATGAAGAAAGTGGTCATAAGTTACTGAGAACTCTTCACCACAGATTACTACCTTCGCTGCGCTGTCAAAATACTAAGCCTTTTGTTCGTATTACGAAGAAGTAGTTCAGTAAGATATTCGGAGTGCACAAATTTGAACGGAAATTTCGCCTGTAGCAAAAACTGTGACGCCTAGAACAAAATATGCACCAAAGCAAAACAACTATTGAGGAACTGAGGCGTGGTGGCGTGATCAAAGCGAATCGGGCGGTAAAGGGACGTCCGTTGAATACAATATGTGCTATAGGTTGTGTTTGTGGCCTGCCTGCGTAACGCTGTGGTACAGGGTTCTACAATGAATCTTGAAATGGAAGAAGAGGAAAGAAAGCCCTCAAAACGGCATCTGCGAATGCGCACCAAATGGCAGGGGAACACATGCGCAGAAGCCGTTTTTAAGTTTTACTTCCGTTCCAAGATCTATTGCATGGGGGTATGGGGCGTCCAAGCTAACGTAACGAAAAGCCAAACCTATCACAAATGAGAGCACATTTCTTGAGTAGAAATAGAGTTCAAAGGAGTGATTCTGCGAAAAGTTACGCAGTGCGGGTCGGGTCCTGCGTTACGCCGTGTTAAATCAAAAGGGTCCTAACCTGCGTAACGCAATAAACAAACGGCCCCAAGGTACTTCCAGCCCTACTTGCAGAAAAATAGTCCCTGCCAAGAGCGAAACAGACATCTGCTGAAAAGTTACCTTTCCATACAATTATTTCAAAGATTTCGGTTAAACGCTCAAGAAACGCTATGCAGAAATAGACAGGCTAAGCCACTCAGCATAAGTAGTACATTCCTGAATGGACTCGGCCAGTGGGTCATTTATACTTCCGGTTTAGATTATCTCGCTTGCGCCCCACAGCACGAGTGGAATTAACTGCGGATTTCTCATCGGCAGTTACTTCTCTGTTAACAGCCGCGAACGGAACCTAGATTTAGGAGGAGCTGCAAATGGGCCCGCGCTCACATCTGAGTTCTGTGCAATGTCTTCTGGCCTGTGGAGTTTGAACAACGGAACAGTCTACAGTCGAAGTCGTCCGTATCCCTAACAAGGGAACCTATTCAGGGGGTACACTCAGATTTCGACCAAACTTTTTTTTTCGTAAGAATAACATATAAGATTAAGAATGCACCCCAAAGTTGGTGCCAAGATACATATCCACACCCCTCCTGACTTTTTTAAACGGAAAAAGGGGTAAAAATGGCCCATGTTTTTACATGCAACGAGCAGATTTTCGGTCGTAAATTGGGCAGTCGCACCAAATTTGTGCAAAATATGATAATATATGAAACAGACCAAAATTTTCTCTCATTTTCGTCACAAGGGGACCAAGCATTGAAGGAAATGACAAAAAACTCGACTTCAAATTTTCCGATTCGATGTCCGAAAATGACCCATACACTGCAAAAAAGCTTATTTTACCCCATTTTTAGGTTTTAAAAAATTGGTAAAGGGTGTAGGTATTTATCTTGGCACCAACTTTGAGGTGCATTCTTTATCTTATATGTTACTCTTACGAAAAAAAAAAAGTTTGGCTGGAATCTGAGTGTACCCCCTGAATAGGTTCCCTTGTAAGGCCACTTCGAATCACCGACGCTTGAGTCATCCAGCGTCCTCGAGTATGGCATTTCGAAACTTTCTTTTGTATTTTTATAACATCAAGTCGTGATACTTCAGTATTCTCTCAAGATATAAAACTGTCCGATTTTAATAACAAACCTTCGGTGCCCTCGTTCCTGCCCGTGACCCGGTCGAAGCTGGCTCACCAAATATGAAATACAGATTCTTCGTGGAATGTGTAGGCTGAATTTCGAAGTCGAATGGGCAAGGGTTCCTCCATACGATCGATTAGTGGATTGGTCATGTCTCGGCCTTTTCCCGAGAAGAGCGCCCGCGAGAAGCAGGATAGGAAACACCCGCTGCACCATGCACCCGAGGCCTCTTTCTTGCCCATCCGATAGTTCGCAGGCGCTCGGGTGACTCCTCCCCACACTTCTAACGCAATTATTTCCCATTATCTGAAGGAAATGGCGCAAGCATAGTACGAAGGTCGCTTTTCTTGGTGTTACGAAGGTTTATCTCTGTGACTCACAATAAAAATGCCGAACGAAGAAAACCTGATTCCTATTATGCTTGCGCCAAATACTATTACACTCTCAGCATGTTACTGACTTTTTCCTCATTAATTACGTATTCGTATAAGCAACAATAATACTTAAGTTTTTCTTTGTAAGTATACTAAGTCATATGTAACTTATTTCCTTGGTAAATTAACAAAATGAGCAAAAAGTCAGTGCTGAGAGTTTATATACATAGCTTGGAATTCAGTGGAAGACATTTACTCTACAAATTAAAGTGTGTACTCAGTGTGCATCTACAGAGGCACACTTGCAAGTAAACGTGGTGCAGGGTTTTTTCTTCCGTAGAGAGCATTATCTGAAATGCAAGCGAGTTTACACTACAAACCTAACTGTGTACTTAAAGTACACACTTACAAACGCATGCTTGGCCAAGTACACACAAATGCATGCTTGGCAAGTACACACTTACATAGCATGTTTGGCGCCGTATAACTCCATGCTAGGCGTTTGTATGTGAGTGCTTGCCAAGCATGCATTTGTAAGTGCGTACTCGGCCAAGCATGCGTTTGTAAGTGTTTGTACTGTAACGAAGTTTGGACAGGGGCAAGAGAGTTAGAGGGAAGCACTTTTGATTTCTTTGATCTGTCATTTTCAAGTTTGTGTGATTTGAAACACGAATTGCTTTGAAGGCTATCTCAAATGATTGAATTTGGCGAAATTCTCTTGCGTTTCAGGTAAGGTTCTTCATGCGAAAACGAACATAAGACACTTTGAATATGACCCCTCGATGAGCATGAGCTTTGACAAAAATGACATCAAGTTCTGATGAGATCCTCACCATTTGAATGTGACGAAAATGGCGTCCAATATTTTGCCATAAACTAGCGTCAAATATTTTCAGTTTAAAGTGACGCCAGCATGCACATTCCAAAACGGTGCTTTTCAGGCTCTCTCTCTCTCGCGCTCGCACTCCAAGCCACGTGCCTCGACGTATACCTCGCCTGGAAAATAAATCGCGTGACGGGATTTGGCACGATTTCTAACGACGGTTGGGTAGCCTTGTCTCCCTCGCACCTCTACGGGACACCCAGTTGAGAGCCAGCGCGGTGCGGTTATGTCGGGGTGCACCCGGTGCCGGTCGATGGACGCGGAGCTTTGCAAGTTCCACGCCTCAAACTTTGCCTTTTTGCTGCTTCGCCGTCGGCGCCTCGTTCTCACCTCCCTTGCCTAGCTCTGCATGGAGTTTCTCCCTGACCCTGCGCCGGATGATGATGGAAGCTCGACCAGAATTCGTTAAAAGGCGAGTGGCCAGGGCTCAGGTTCCAGGTTCGAGACGGAGAAATCCACGATTAATGGGAAACATCCGGGATGCGCACAGTAAATGTCTTACGGTGAAAGGCTGCACCAACATAATATGGTGGAGATTTTCTCCATAATACCAACGAAATTCGTCAAAATCTCTATAAGGTACAGTGAATTCTCAATGGTATGTTACGAAGTCAGCTGCACCACCATAATATGGAACATTTTCACCATAATATGGAGAATCTTCACTGTAGAACATTTAGAGTGCATTTAATTTTCAGTGCGACCACAGGAACGACACCGGTGTCTTCAAAAACACGTCTTTATTGTGGTGAAGAGAATTTCCAGAATTAACATGCATAGGAGTTATTAGAAAAGTCTTGGCGAAGAAATCTGGGGCCAAACGTTTAACTTCGACACAAATAGTAAGTACAAAAACGAAAATCCATGAGTTCGATTACTATTTAATCACACCTTCCGAACTCCATCATAGGCACACCTGTTTTATAGAACAATTTTGAACAGGAAGATATATACAGTTGTCGGTTAAAGAACACAGAGCAACTGGTAAACACAATTAAAAAGGCTGTCTAAATAAATATAAACGCCAGTTATTTCAAACCAAAAACCAAATCATGGCCAACTGGAGCATTCACTCGGGTACGGGCAGTAGGCCTCCCTGGAGTGCGCCGCGAACGCGACGCAGCCCTCGAATCTCCAACGAATATCAGAGTGGCACTTTTCATTGCACCAGGTGCACGTGCAATTTTCATAGTCCAAAAAAATTAGCCTCAGGCGGAGATGGAGACGAGGGTTCCTCCTCGGAAGTTCTTCAACGGCGGGGTCGTGCATCCAGGCGTGGACGCAAAAGGCCGCTGTGGGTGTGGGTAAGTCGAGCATCTCCAGCGTGGTGAGGCTAGGGACAGTTGTTGGGTTCAGCGCCCGCATCAAATCGAAGCAGGGTTCAGGATGCGGCAAATCGAATGGATCGAACTTCAGGGAGAGAGTCCGTAGAGCTGTGAACTGAGGTACGGCGGCAGCTACCTTACGCCAGAAGACTGTTTTTTCGTTTGGGACATGCAGTTCAAGGGTTTCTAAGACACGGGCAGAGGGTGATGCAGCCAGAGCAGGTATGATATCAGCATCTATCCTGAACCTGTAGGGACTTGGAGCAAGAGACACAGAGCGGAGCTGCGACGCCGCACGCAGGAATTCCGGAAGTCCTAAGACGTCTTCTTCGCATATCCCACACCCGAAGGAACGTAGCCTGGGCAGCATTAACAAAGCAGACACGGGAAGCACGGACCACTCGAAAACGACACGTTCGAGGGTGGCGGCGTGTGCCTCCAGTAGATGTTCTACTAAAGCGTCATGAGGTGGACGGTACAGACATGTGAGCTCGGTAAGGGACGGGCTCTTCTCCAGGCCATTTATTGAAGCCACCCGGCATGGGCCTTCGATTGTCAATTTGCGGAGACGGTCTGCCTTGTACATTGCCCCCAAGAGCCCATTCACATCCACGACGCCTTCCTCAACCCAGATACTTAGGACCAGTTCTTTAAGGCCACCGAGAGCAGATGCCTTTTCCACTATAGCCGTGGCAAAAGTCATTACGTGTGTGGCTTCGACAGATAGCTCAAGTTTAGCGACGACACACGAGGTGCGGGACACTTCGCTGGCAGCATCCTCAAGGTCAATCCCACTGATGTCCAGTTCGCGGAGGCAGGGTGCGAGCCGGAGGGCACTGCGGCACAGACCACGGTGTTTCAATGGGCACGCCACTCGGACGCGGCGCCACAGGTCGCGGTGGAGACACAGATCACGGAGGCGGCGGCACAGCACGCGGCAGTCGAAGAGCTGTCTCGGCGGCAGGAACGCCAGCACGGCCAGCAGCGCGTCGTCCGGCAGGGCCAGCAGCAGCTGCGGCAACAGAGTCCAAATTTGAGCATCGCAGATCAACGGGATCACCGGCCGCGACTGGACTGTTCAATCGAAGGCATAAAATCCAGACCACGCCTTTAACAGTCCAAGACGCCCCGAAAACGCGCGAAACGCGAAAACACGCGAAAACGCGTCTTTTTTCCCTTGAATGCGTACTTCTCCCTTAGAAAACCACTCACCGATTGGTCCATTGTTGCGGCACTGAGGTCTGCAGTGAGTGTCGAGCAGACCGAGCCCCGGCTGCGTTGACGATGTGGACGAACGTGATCTGAATGGAAACAAAAAGTCACTTCAGTTACGTTGGCGGAAGACCGGATGGACCAGTGTCCACTTCCTAATGGGCCGTAAGTGCAGTCTGCTCTACAACTCGAAGAGCGTACATTGCATGCTCTAACTGGAGCATGCCTGCAAGCACGCTCTAGCTTGCGCATGCCTGCCAAGCATGCACTTACTAGTGCATACATGCCATGTACACGCTAACTCAAGCATGCATCTAGTGCATAAGGGACAGGGAGTTGCCTGCATCAGGAAGCGTGTACATGGCATGTACACTCTAAATGTTCTACAGTGAAGATTCTCCATATTATGGTGGTGCAGCTGACTTCGTAACATACCATTGAGAATTCACTGTACCTTACAGATATTTTGACGAATTTCGTTGGTATTATGGAGAAAATCTCCACCATAATATGTTGGTGCAGCCTTTCACCGTAAGACATTTACAGTGTATGCACCAGTAAATGCATGCTTGGCAGGCATGCGCTAGCTAGAGCGTGCTTGCAGCCATACAATGTACGCTGGATTTGTTGAGTGGGATTGTTTATCATAGCACGTTTGCGATGACCTATACTGCTGAGAACGCGTCTGCCTTCCTTGATATAGAATCATGTTGCGATATTATCCAGTCCATGTAAATTTATCAGATTATCATATTCCTTCGCGAGCGCCCTGACAACGCTTGCGTTGAACTAATGAAAATAGAAAGGTAGCAACTGATTGGAACCATTACCGCGAAAGAAATTTTACAATCATGTCAACTTTTGTTTGGTTCAATGACACGTTTTTCTCCCGGGTTAGCAACAACGAAACCGGGTTGGCATCCGTTAATTTTGCATCGCTGTGTCAAGTCACTAATGCGCTTCACTTCGCCACCTCGCATTCGGGAGTCCTTCCACTTACTTTCCAGCGACGAGGTCGTCGCCTTCTGCAAGTTGTTGCGGCACTTTGGCACCCGCGGCCCCGCCCGTCAGTGCAGTCCCCTCCTGCAATCGGTCGCCTTCGCCGCCACTACACTGGTAAAACTGAAGCGTGGTATTACCCTCTGTTTTCAAGCGTTATCAGGTTACGCTTGAAATCAACCGTAACAGGCTCATCCGCCAAGTTTCCCCCTATCTAAATGCATGGGGGAATTTCCAGAGTATGCGTCAGTAACGTCTCCAAGCGTAGAGTTCCGCTTTAGTTTTAACAGTGTGCCTTGACGCCCGGGTCAAGCAGCACCCCCCCCCCTCTCCGTACCATTTTCCCGTTCATGCCCAGCTCTCTCTCTCTCTCTCTCATTTGTTGCCCCCTGCTATGCATTGCCCACCGACGACCTACCCTCAGGATTCTTTCCACGGGCCCCTAAATTCACGCTGCACTTCGCGCGAGCCCCCGACCCCTCTCCTCTCCCCCTTTCTCTTCTAGCACCCCCCCTCCCCCGCCCCAATCTCCCACTCATCTATCTCTCCCTCTCTCTCTCTCTCTTCGACTGCGGCTGGACGCTGGAGTTTATCCTTGCCCCAGCGATGGAAAAGGGAGGCCAATCAAGATGGCATAATTGCGCCCAAGACGTACGACCTCTTGCCCCGCTTGCCAAACAGTCGACAGGAGGACAAACTGGGCGGCGGGCCCGCCGTCAGATGCCGGGGCCCTATCTGACGCCTGCTTGCGAGCAGCCGCTGTCTCTCTCGCACCCCCGACGGAACGCGCCATGAGTGCGAGAGCGAGCGACGAGAGCAAAGTCTGCAATCAGCCCGCACTGGCAGAAATGAGTATACTGAACATGCCTGATCTATTTTTTCTTTATTTTGACCGCCTGTACCGGAGGTTCCCTTGCATGTTTTCCCAGCCAGCTTACATGAGACCATTACAGAGAGTCATGACGCATTCGTGTGAACAACAATAATACTTAGCAATTTCAAAGTAAAAATGACTAATTTCCGTTGTAAACTTATGTTCAAAACCAAATTGTCAGTACATTGTTAATCAAGTGGTTCTTTAAAAGCGAAAATCTACGCATTCCGGTGAATATTATTATGTTCGTATGAATATCCGTATTACAAATTACTTGCATGAGCACTGACAAAATGAGCAAAAAGTCAGTAACGTGCTGAGAGTGCACCGGGCGGAGCGGCGCAGACGCAGCTGATTTGAATAAAAGAGCCACTCCTCTCGGCGCGGCTTGGCCGGGCTTGGAGGGGCCGCCGCGCTCGCGAGGGGGTGACCACTCCAGGAAATCGTGTACAGGGTACTCGGTATTACGGGGATATTACTCGTGCATTACGCCATTAAAATGCCAAAATTGGGTACATTTGGTCCAAAAATGGTATTACAATTCCGTGTATTACGCGTAATACACGGTTTTAGTGTACAGGGTATTGCGCGAGTGTTTACCCCCTCGCGCGCTCGCGCTGCGACCTCTCCACCATCAATCCTCGGGCTTGCCTGGGCATCGCCTCGGCATGAGCCGCGCGGAGTCCCGCCGAGACGCAGTGAGGCTAGGCGGTGGAGACTGCCTGCCCGCCAAAGCATGTCCTAGTACAATTCAGCGGCCGTTGGGCATAAGGCCGTAAGTCACATGGGAAACCCATTGAAAATAGGTTGTTCTGTCCGATGACCACTCAATAGCCACATTGCCACTGCAGTAAAATAAATTTACGAAGCATCGTTTCGTAATACGAAGAAAAGGAAGGCATTGCAAAGTTTACGAATTGATTCGTATTATGAAGCAAAATTCATCCTAATAAGAAACAATTCTTCAAAGCACAAAGAACATTCTTTGATGCCCCATTTTGTTCGCAGTTACGAAGCAAAAGCACTAGTGAAATTAAAACGTGGCTGTTGACTCAATGCTACAGTCAAGCATAAAGTTACGCTTGAGATGAAGCAAAGACTGAAAATTTCCTAGTGCGTTTAGAAAGGGGGAATCTCGACAGACTGACACGAGTGACACGCTTCATTTTAAACACTTTCACACAATTTCAAATTTGTGAACGTATACGAACAAATTTGTACGTACGCAGGATCGCACAAATTCGTGAAAAATTTGCGTATGAATCAGTAGACAAGGCACGTCGGTGAAAATACTGAGATCACGGACTAAAACAGTACCAGGAATTAAGCCCGTGAAAAGGCTTTTTCTTGAAGTCACTTAAACCCAGTCTGTCTGCATGACCGAGTGGTGCCAATGAGACCACATAAGAACAATTGCCCAGATTGATTTTTTGAGCAGAGTGCCAAATAGCAAACGATCTAATCCTAGGTTACCTTTGAGTGGAGTGGCTGCTGCAGGCGCACCGAACTTGGTCACGAAACTCTGCAAAGGCCGAGTGGAAGGGATGATGTGCCGGCGACGTTCGGCAGTTCAAAGCAGCTACTTCTGAAATGGAAAAACAAACGAATTAGCGTACATTTAAAAGAATTCATAACCAGTGGCAGGAGAATGTTAGCACCGCAGGTCTCGGCGCACACTGAACGTAAAGTCCGTACGAGAGATCACAGTTTTTCCGAGGAGATGAGTTTTTGGTGCAGTTTTCGAACGAAAAACTGCACACTGTTCACCATTTCTGAACATAATTACGTACAAATGAGTACGGAGGGTTCATCTGCACCAAAAACTGTGACGTCTAGTACAAAATTTGCACCAAATAAATTAAAACAAGCAGTGTGGAAGCGTGGTGGCGTGATAAGGCGGAAACGGGACGTCCATTAGTAGAGTATTTCCGTGACTCATGAAACGTACAGAAGAAGAACACAAGTGCACACCTTCCGTCTCCTTGCCTGAGGAGGGGGCGAAGATGGCTGCCCCTTGAACCCCCTCCCTGGAGAGGGGACGGAAGGTGTGTACTTGTGTTCTTCTTCCTTCCGTTTCAATATGAGCGGAAATACCTAGTTACGTTATGTGCTTAGGACAGGACAAAAAGGTGTGTGAGTGTGGCTTGTCTGCGTAACGCTACGATATTACGGGGAAGGGGGGGGGGCATCCCAGCCATCGTAACGTAAAGCCACACCCAGCACAAATGAGAGCACATCTCAGGATAAGAAATAGAGTTGAAAAGAGAGATTCTGCGTAAAGATACGGAGTGCGGGTCTGGTCCTGCGTAACGCCCCGTTGAGTCCAAAGTGTCCAAACCTGCTTAGCGCATGAATGGACGGCCCCAATGTACTTGCTGAAAAATAGTCCCTGCCAAGAGCCTAACAGACATCTGCTGAAAAGTTACCTTTCAATGCATTCCAAAGATTTCGCTTAAACGCGTTGCAGAGATGGCCTCAGCATAGGTTACATGCACATTCCTGATTGAACTCGGCCAGTGGGTCATTTTAGACTTCCGGTTTGGTATATCTCGCCTCGACCCACAGCTCGAGTAGAATAAACTGAATTCCTATCACCCGAGAGCAGGGTATTCACTAAATCTTGATCGGGAAATAGTGATGAAAAGAGCTTGATCTACGAGGAGCTGTAAGTGGGCACGCGCTTACATTAGAGTTCTGCGCCTTAATAGGGTACTTTCGTAGAATCCTGAACCGGAAGCAAGCAGACCAGCAGACGCCAAATTGGCCGGAAACTAACCTCTCTTCGGATCCAAAACTATAGCCGAGCTGTACAAATATTGCTCGCGAAACACATATGCACTGCAAACAAGTATCAAGCAACTGTTTATGATCAAGTGTGGCCGATACGTTTGACGAACGTCTCTTTCCCATGTCAAGTTTGGATCTACTTCCGCCAACATGGCGTCTGTGTGCTTCCGGTTCAGGGATCTACGAAAGTACCCTATTGATAGTGCCTTCCGGCCTCTGGAGTTTGAACCACGGAACAGCTTACACTTGAAATCGTCCGTGTCCCGAGGGTCTCTACGGATCGCCGACGCTTCAGTCATTCAGCGTCCTCGAGTATGATATTTCAAAACTTTCTTTTATAATTTTACAAAATTAAGTTGCGATGCTGAAGTACCTATTCTCTTAAGATATGAAACTGTCTGATGTTAATAACTAACCTTCGGTGCCCTCGTTCTTGCCCGTGACCCGGTCGAAGCTGGCCCAGATATAGATTCGTCGTTGAATGCAAGCAAAAATTCTGAGTCGAATGGGCAAGGTTTCGCCCTACGACGGACTTGTGAGTGGTAACGTCTCGGCCTTTACCCGAGAAGAGCGCCCGCGAGAAGCACGATAGGCAATAACCGCTGCACCATGCACCCGAGGCTCTTTGTTGCCTATCCGATAGTTCGCAGGCGCTCGGCTGGCTCCTCCCCACAATATCGCAATAATTTCCCATAATCTGAAGGAAATGGCGCAAGCATAGTACGAAGCTCGCTTTTCTTGGTGTTACGAAGGTTTTTCTTTGTAACTCACAATAAAAATGCCTAACAAAAACCTGCCTCCTATTATGCTTGCGCCGAATTCTGCAACATTACATAACTCGGATTTCAGTGTATACACTGTTTACTATTTATTGTGCTTCGTGATGTACTGGAGGTACATAGGTATCTTATAAGATATTTAGATATTTACTCTGCAAGCTAAAGTGTGTACTCGGTGTGTGTGCATCTACACACTAAATGTTTGTGTACAAAATTTGAACGAGACATCACAGTTTTTAGTGCATACAAATTTTGTGCAAAAAAGGCGAAAAATGTGCAGTTTTTCGTAAGAAAATTGTACGAAAGTTTCGTGTGCACTGAAAACTGTGATGTCTCGTACAAAATTGTACATAACATTTAGTGTGTGCAGAGGCATACCTGCAAGTAAACACCTTGTTGAGTGGAGGGAGGGGCGACGTGGCGTAAAGTGAGGCGACTGCGTTCCTAACCAGGAACCATTTTTGTCGTGAGTGTAGGGTTGTTAACGTTAATTTAACGATTAACGGCGTTACGGTAACGGCGTTAATCCATAATTAACGTTAACGTTAACTCGTTAAAATATGTCTGGGCCATTAACGTTAACGCGTTAAGTTAATGGAATCTCTTTACGCGTAACGCCGTTAATGCGTTAACGTAGGGATTAATGCACGATCGGTCAACGTAAATTTCCGAAAAAATATATGTGCTAGAGACAGCAAAAGCTGTTTTACCTAGTTTAATATTTGTGTTATGGTTTCTTTAATTCTTTTATGGGTGCTGAACGTTTGTTTCAACGTTTTGGTGGCGTTATCTCAACCCTCTCTGGTTGGGTTTTAAAGTTTTTTTTAACGATAACGGCGTTACTTGCGTTAATTTAACGTTAACGCGTTAAATTCTCAAATTCGAGTTAACGTTAACGCGTTAAGTTAATGCACCCGGACTAACGCATTAACGTTAACGCTTTAAATCTGAAATTAACGTTAACAACCCTAGTGTTTACGGCGGCACGGTTTCTTTGTGATGTCGGCGGTGTCTGACCTCGCTGCGCTGCGCGTTGGGCTCATTCCATGAAGCCGAATCCAGGACCAATTCCACTTCGCAGACCGAGGCGAACGGAAGGGCTGGATTGCAGGGACTGCCGGGGAAGGAGAGGGGGGAGGACGAGAGAAATAGAATGGGACAAGGAGCATAGAGGAGAACGGAGTAGAAGTTTCGAGGCCAGCAGACTGATTCCGAGAGTCGGTTTCATCGTTCAGTCTCTCTCGCACTCAAGCGAATTCCACTATAGGTGGGCATGTGACAGAGCGATGAAAACGACTCTCGGAATCAGTCTGCCGGCGCGGCAGACTACATTATTTGCGAATGATTATTGTCATGCTGGAACTTTGAAGCCGTCTCAGCTCCGCCATTCAGTCTAACGACACACATTGTGAAAATTTGTTGTAACTCTATGACAAAAACGTAGACGGTATTTTCATCACTTTCAAATGATGACAATCTCATCACAAATTGATGACATTTTTATCAAAGCTCCTATACTTATCGCATGGGCGTGACAACAATGTCATCAACTGTTTTGATGACATTGTTGTAAGGAAAATTAGCCTTGAAATTGTCATCAAGTGACGACTCAAATTTTCACAGTGCAGGTCTCATTGCGATGAAGAGATATCTGTCTTCTTCCCCTGTCCAGTTCTTCCCCGCCCTGACCCTAGTCACGATTGGCGCCAATCCGACGTCAGAGAGCGGGACAGCTGCAAAAGGGGGGGGAGGGGGGAGGCCTCCTGCCGGAGCAGAGTTCTACCCTGGTGTGCCTGTGCCTACCGCGCTGGCTGCAACCCCGGGCGAAGAGTTTTTTCTGTGGATATCAGAGAGAGGGAGAAAATGTGCCGAGCTCGCTCTATCGGTGCAAGCGGAGTGGGCTGAAGAAAGCTAAGGGGGGAGGGGAGGGGGGATGAAAGGGGGATCGATGTTCACTGCAAACCACAGCATTGAGTGGTGCAGCAGGTTTGTTTCCGAACGGAGGCCCGTCGCTCTGTCTCTCTCCAACCCTTACGGAATGCCCCGTGGAAGAGTGAGAGGTAGAATGACTAGACAGGGCACTGTCCGGGAGGGGAACATTTTTGAGGACGGAGGGAGGGGAGGGAAGGGAGGAGGATGGAAGGGGTATATCGCGATGGAGTGGCTTGTTGGTGGAAAGGATCATGGCCAGGCGATGGGAGAGGATGCTTCTAGAGGAGGGGAGGAGTAGGAGGGGTGTGTGTTTAGAGTGGTGGAGCGTGGGAAGGGGCATGCCTCCCCGGGCCACACCATCGCGCTGTTGCATTCGCCTGCGGACTGATTCCGAGAGTCGTATTCGTCGCTCCGTCCCTCTCGCACTCAGGGGGCTTTCCGGGTGGGAGAGAGACAGGACGACGAAAACGACTTTGGAAACAGTCTGCTGCACACCCTACGAATGGGGCGGCCTTTAGGCGGGCAGTAAAGGGATTCCAGTAGACATTTGGAGTGGGACTCTTCAGTCCTTCTCCCTCAATAATCAAATTTCAATTTCTCTCTGTCTGCCCCCCCCCTCTCTCTCTCTCAATCATAGGAGGACTCGTAGGCGCCAGAGTCAGAGCGACCAAAACGAATCAGCCTGCAGGCGGTTCTGCTGCGCTGTCGCGAACTTTCTTGAAAGGGCAGAGGGGGAGGCAGGAGATGCACGATGCACCAGCTCTTCTGGGTCACTGGGTCTGTTGGAGCGCGGTCTCGCTTCCCGCTGTCATTGCTGGACCCACATCTCCGCCCCCGCCTGGTCGGTCGTCCAATAACAGAGAAACACGGCGAGGGGACGCCAAAAAGAAGCCGTGTATTGTTCCACCGCGGAATATTGCGATTTTTTACTTACTCACTGAATGTTTACGTTTTTACTTCAATGTCGTCCCATATTTGCGCATACAGAAGCTATGCACAATTCAATAAGGGACACTTTGAGGAACAATTTTCCGTACTCTGCCTAAGTATTTATGAGATAGAACATAATGTATGAACAAATTTGTACATCACTGACATATGCACGGATATGGCAGTATTGATGGTCAAAAAGTCCTTAGGAATTTACAGTTAACACTCGAAAACGAAGGGTCCTATTCATACCTACACAGGAAACAAAGGCATTGTAAAATTGCTCCGTTTTTGTGAAGAAAACGCATCGTATTTCGTAACATCATTTTACTTCAAAATACGCAACTTTCTTCCGTCGATTTGACAGTGCCATGTCAGTCTCATAAACTACTCGTAACTGTGAACCGAAGTGTGACACTGCGACACGGACACATCAATTTCAGAAAGCAACACAACACAACGCGGGCTGTGACCATTCGTGTGTTGGCCCATTTCCGACGAGTGTGTCCCCTCTCTCTCTCTCTCTCTCTCTCTCTCTCTCTCTCTCTCTCTCTCTCTCTCTCTCTCTCTCTCTCTCCGGCGTCACGTTCCGCCCCTCGCGCCGGAGGCGGCACTGTAATTGGGTCTGCGCGGAGGAAATCGGGATTTCCCGGAGAACGTTTTCCACTTTCCGAAGTTCCGCTCCGCGCCATCCCGCGAGACTCGAGACTCGGCCGGCTCCCGAGTAAGGATGCGTTCACCCGCAAGTCGCCCGCGGCCCGCCACGCGCGCCGCTCGCCCACACAGTGGAACGTCTACAAAGCATCCGCTTTGAAGAAACACACAAAATTACTGCGAAGTTTATACACTCATTGTTGTCACTTTATGACAAACACGTGGATGATATTTTCATCACTTTCAAACGATGACAATCTCATCACAGATTGTTGACATTTTCATCAAAGCCCCTATACTAATTGCAGGGGCGTGACAGCAATGTCATCAATTGTTTTGATGGCATTGATGTAATTGACATCACGGTAAAAACAGTTCCTGGTTTTCCAGGAACCCCTGGAAATCGCCTTGTCTTTGCCATAGGGCTCCTGGGAAAACCAGGTACCGTTTTTACCGTGATGTAATTGCCATCGGGTGACGACCCAAATTTTCACAGTGTAGTTTTGCATCAAAATTTTCATGGGGTGAAACGCGAAGTGAAACGCTCGAATTCATGCGTACACTGAGAATGAAAGAGTCATGATCATGACTAAAATTTTGGGGGAGGAATTCTTTTTTACCCAATTTTTTGGGGGAGGAAATTTTCCTCGCCCCAAATTTTGGGGGAGGAAAGTTTCCTCACCCAAATTTGGGGCATAATACTATGGGCATATAGGGGCTGATACACCCTTCCTCACCCCAAAAATTTGGGGGAGGAAGCTTTCCCCGCCCAAATTGGCGAGGAAACGTTCCTCACCCAAAAATTTTGGGGGAGAAAATAAACCTCGCCCAAAAAATTTGGGGATTGATATGACTTTTTCATTCTCAGTGTAACAATAGCGCACCCTTTGAACTTAGTTACGCAACAATTCGTGCATTTTGAATCGTCGCACGTTCATTTTGGTGAGAAGCTTATGCTCAAAAAACTACATGGTAATCTAGTGCGGACCGAAAGTCGACGCCTCTTTTCGCCTTATTTTACACTGAGATTCCAAAAGCTATGAGTATACACTCTAAATGTCTTACGAAGAAATTTCCATATTACGAAGGAAATGGCGCAAGCATAATACGAAGGTGGTTTTCCTTCGTATTTCGAAGGTTTTTCTTTTTTATTACAATGAAAAAGCTAAAAGATTCGTA